GAGAAGGAGGCTCAGCAGAAGCACCTCACTGAGGACTACGAGCATAGGCTTTCCAAGCAGAGGAAAGACTTGTGGGAGTGCAAGTCCAGGTACCAGTCCCACGGGAACAAGGTCCTTGGTCCTTTGCCACCAGCGACACTTCCCTCCAGCCTTCGCCCAAAGCCCCACACCCAGGAAGTCAAAGCAGACCCCAAGACAGAATATCTGCTCCCACACAAATATACCCCAAAGGGGAAGACTCTCTGCAGCAATACAAATATTCATTGCACATATCCGGCCCCGGGGCCGTAATTTGAGGCCCCCTGATTTTGTGCAATATAAAAAATGCAAATAATTTTATCTCCGGACCACCATAATTTTCTCATGGACCACCAGTTGGTGATCGCTAGACTAAAACAGTCTTCATACATGATGGAACAGCTATTTACCATAGTATTTGTCTGGCTGATGTAATCTAAGCAGGGTTGGGCATGTTGGCCTCATTTGATTAAACACCAACATTAACTAGGACCCCTGTTATATTTGTAGCAGCACCTGCATGCACAACGAAAGTGTTTTGAAGCGCCTTGAAGACGAGGACTATCTCTTTTTTCATTCCTGTCTGGTTATTATTGTTTTTTTACTCCTCATTCTAGTCCAGAGTTGTACCTCAGTACTCACTAAAAATGACAAGTACCAAAAAACTCCCACATGATTTACCACATGGCTCTTTGTTTCAGCTAGGAAGGACGTTCTGTCTGTCCCCTTTTCTATGTCAGAGATCTTCCCAGCATGGCTGACTTCCTGTCTGCCCTCTGCAGCCAACTCCCACTTCCTTCCCAACTTGGTCAACTTCCTGCCCATTCTCCATGGCTGTCCCCCACTTTCTATTGCAGCGTGTCAAATACCAAACAATGAGTTCCAGGACAACATTTTCACATCAAAATGCATCGAGGACCAAATTCGATGAGTTTTGAAGCAGTTGAGTATTGAGGTATTTCTTTTTCACTGTTTTATTTTTTTGTTTTTACTTATGAACCACAAAGAGGCTGAGTCAGGCAGTATATAAATTAAATAAATAACTAAACTATATCATACAGTATCTTTATTTTGGTGAAAAGCAATGCTAGGAATATAATTCTAACGGTTGGGTTGGCAATATATAAATCATGCAACAATGTTGTAACTGTTTCTTTAAATCATACTGTAAAATGTGACTGTATTCCTCAATCAGCCATAAGAGGGAGCCAGAATGCCTGTTCGTTCTCTCTGTTTGTTAGATGCTGGGCTGATCTGAGTGCCGTGAGCTATTGTAAGGTTTGCAACTGCTAGCAAACTTTGAGTACTGAACTGATTATATGATACTGGACTATGTTATTTGGATTACCCCTTAACTGAAAGACACTGATGACTTACTGACTTATCTGTGTATGACTTGGACTATTTGATGGACTCTGATACCTCTATTTCCACAAAAGTAAAAGCCTATTTAAACTGCATGTCTCTGTATGTTGGTTTGTGTGTTCTCCAACACAACTCTAACAACGCTTCTCTGAACGTACTCGCTCTCCCAACAGGGAGCTTACTTAACAAGCAACTCCCTGCTTTCTAATGCTAACTTCATGCCTCAATTGAATTTGCCAATTTAAACCAGTGCAGAGATCTTAGCAATAAAGAAATCAGGGTCATATAGTCATTTCTCAGAGCTGGAAGTTTGAACTTGCTGATTACGATATTGTACATTTTATCAACTTAGCTGGCATGGAAACAGTGAACAGAAAATCCCAACCATCTTCCTAAATGTCGAGCCAGGAAGAGGTTAAAAGATCACTGCAAAACATATAGGGTTATTCCCAGACACCTCTGCAGCTCTAGAGAAGTTCAGATCTTGCCCCACTCCATAACATGCCCAGTTGCCATATACGCACTTAAAAGTTGAATATAATAGCTGTTTTTTTTTTAAAATTGATCCAAGACAAATGTCTCCTGCCAATGCAAACATACCTGTTGCAGCCTTAATTTTCTTCTTCTTTCGTGTTCTTCTTTCAACAGCTGAGCTTCTTCGTTAGGACTAAGTCTAAGTCTTCCTGCCACTTTTCTTCTCATGGTTGGTTATGATTACTGTTCAAGGCTGTGTTTCCAAAGACAATAGAAACATGCTTAGCATCAATATGTATCTCAGTCGGAAAGTAATACAGTAGTATTCTATGCAGTATACGTACAGTATAATTATATTATACCGTGTTTCTCCAAAAACAAGACGGTTTTATTTTCTTTTGACTCCCAAAATAAGCACTTAGTCTTATTTTCAGGGGTCTTATTATTTTTGAGGTGCAGGAGTCACCTCATGACTGCTGCTGTGTTGCAATATTTTCAGGGTGGGCTTATTTTAGCGCATGTGCTCAAAAGCCCAATTGGGCTTATTATCCAGGGAGGTCTTATTTTCAGGGGAACAGGGTACTGTATATCCACGCTATAGTAAAGGGGAAAAGATTGTTTTTAATGGTAAACAGAATGATTATGCAAGCTTTAAAAAAATCTGTTGGCTTTGTAGCTTTTCTCTTAGAGTTCATTTCATGGGTCACAGAGTTTGTTTTGTTTCTCATCAACAACATTTCAACCACTTCAGTGTTGTATACGGACATCTGTATCCAAGGAAAAAGACACTGAAAGCACAGCAGTCCATTTGCTTCCTTATAAAAGGCAATCTGGGAGAAAGGGAAGGCGGCTTCTGACCTTTCATACAAAATGCTTTTAAAGTTATTCAATATGCATTAAAAAATGAAAATAAAAGGAATGGGGGCATTGAATTAGATAGCGTATTTCTATTCTGTTTTCAACCTTACTCTCATGTTTTCAAATTTCTCAGTTCAAGTAAAAGGCATTGAAATGCTGTTCTGAAAAACAGTTTTGAGAGTGGCAAATATACACAATTTAAAAGCATCTCAAGGACATGTGGGTTTTAAAGAATATGTTCCCCACAACTTCAGCACACTGCTACAGATACTGTTGTGGACAAATGGGCCCAGGATAATTTAATACGTTTTTTAAAAGGGCTTCAACAACAGTTTCAAAGGAAAAGAGCACCTGAAGAGGGCACTAATGGATATAATTTCAAAAAAACCTTTAATCAATAACCTTCTCAAGATCTTGTTTAATTAATCCTTGAGGCATTCAGAGCACTCCAACAAGATCGCCGTGGCAGCTTCCTAGTCTCATGATTGCATAAAAACAGCAGATATATTCCTTGATATAACAAATAGACTATTGTTGGATCTTTCCAAATATTATTTTCTACTATTTCTATTATATATTATTTCATAATGCAATACTGCCATATAGTCAAGAGATGAGTATGTTTTCCCTTTCAGAAAAAAACAGCATATTTATCATCTTAAGGAATTATCCTGAAAAATATCCCCCCCAATCGCAAACACAGGTAACCCTCAGGTTACAATGGCAATTGGAACAAGATTGTGGTAACTGAGCAATGCAGTTGTAAAATGTGATATCATGGAACTGTTTCTAATGTGCATTTGGCAGATGCTATTAGTACTATCCAACAACCCCGATTTAAATTAGAAAAGATGATTTGGCACATCACACCTGAGAGCAATTATTTTAAAAAGCTACATCTGTGATGGCAAGCCTATGGCACGCATGCCACAGGTGGCACATAGAGCCATTTGTTAGGGCACACAAGACGTCGCCCTGTCAACTGTGGTGTGCATTCACATGCTGGCCAGCTGACTTCGGCCTTCTTTTGCGGCCGTTTTTCTCCCTCCGGAGGCTTCCTTGAAGTTACTAACTTCATCCGCTGCAATGATTTGCTTAACAACTGTGGCAAAATATATATATATATCATAAAATGGAGCAAAACTGAATTAACAAATGTCTCACTTTAACAACAGAAATGTTGGGCTCCAATGTAGTCATAAGTGGAACACTCCCTGTAGTTCCTCACCTTTGCTATAATCCCATAATCCTTTTACATGCAATTTTTATATGATTTTTATACATCATTTCTTGGTGTTGCACACAAGCCAATTCACAGTAAACCGATGTGAATCTCACAATATTGTAATACCAGCATTGGCTATGTAGAAAGCTCACCCACCCGCCCAAGAGAATGAAATATTTTGGGGAATGTTAAAAGAGGCAGAATATTATATTTCCCCAAAGGAGAAAAAAAATCTTAACAAAGGCAGAAAGCAGCCCCAACAGCCTCCAGCAGATGCCTGAAGTCTTTTAAGAGATTAATATTTTGTGCCCAATAAGCAATAGACCAGCCTATTCACAAACAAAATGCCTTCAGCTCCAATTGATGGGATTAAGAAATTACATCACCCACTACTCAAATTCTAAGAACAGGAAAGGAATGGCAGAGTTCTCAAGTCACAAGACCAAAATCAGCCAACATGGAAAAGATAACAAAGAATCTTATCTTTATTATCTATATTAATATTAATATAGATAACATGATCTTTTAGGTTAGAACATGCTAGGATTAACCCACCACCATTAGAATAATAAAAGGCACCAGGCTTGCTACATTGCACAACCCCCTGCAGCATCTCAGAACCTGTATAAAAACCCATGCACTCATCAAGCCAATTGGTCAGCTGTCCCAAAACTACATGCTGTTGTTGGTTCTGTTCATCAATAAACAAGGGCTTATTATGTTAATAATTCTTAATTATCATTTTGATATTATATGTTCTTTCTGCGCCAGCTGAGGAAGTTCAAACTACCCAAGGAGCTACTGATACAGTTCTACAGAGAAATTATTAAGTCTGTCATCTGCACCTCTATAACTGTCTGGTTTGGCTCTGCAACCCAACAAGACAGACAAACTGCAGGAAAAAAACTATTAGTACCAACCTGCCTTCCATTGAGGACCTGTACACTGCCTGAGTCAAAAAGAGGGCCGTGAAAATATTTACAGTCCCCTCGTATCCTGGACATAAATTGTTTCAACTCCTACTCTCAAAACAACTGCTATAGTTCAATGCACACCAAGACAGCTAGACACAAGGACATTTTTTTCCAAAACACCATCACTCCGCTAAACAAATAATTCCCTCACCGCTGTCAAACCATCCACTAAGGCTGCATTACTATTACTATTAGTCTTCTCATCATTCCTATCACCCATCTCCTCCCACTTATGACTGCAGGACTGTAACTTTGTTGCTTGTATCCTTACCATTTATATTGATAGTTTCCTGATTCCTGATGACTATCATTAAGTGTTGTATCTTATGATTCTTGACGAATGTATCTTGTCTTTTTATGTACACTGAGAGCATCTGCACCAAAGACAAATTCATTGTGTGTCCAATCATACTTGGCCAATAAAGAATTCAATTCAATTCAATTCTATCCTATCCTAATTCTATTCCCATCCCCATCCCATTCGATTCTATCTCAGAACCTGTATAAAAATCCATGCACTCATCAAGCCAATTGGTCAGCTTCTCCAAAACTACATGCTGTTATTGGTTCTGCTCATCAACAAACGGGGGCTTGTTATGATAATTCTTAATTATCATTTTGATATTATATTTGATCTTTCCAATCAACCTCCATTTTCTTTCCAGCGTCTTTCTCCCGGCTTGGAACCGGACCGGATTTTTCTTCCAACTATTATTGCTTTTATTTACAACCCCCCACTCCACCATCTTAAGAGTACAACAACCCTGCAGTGTAATCCACACTCAGGAAATGTGACTGCCTCGGCTTCATCGAAGGAGCGTCGCCGCTCGAACAGGCTTCAAATACGGCTCCGGGTTCCCCCGCTCCACAACCCCGTAAAAGACGACAGACCCACGTACGCACCAAAACCCACACTTTCCCTTCCCCGTCAGGGTCATCTCTCCTTCTCTCTCTTTTCCAACAGCTTCTGCAAAGCCGCTTCCGGCTGCGTCACATCCGCTCGATCAACTGCCAGCTCATAACGCGCGCCCTCCCGCCTCGCTAGCCTCTCGTCCAATTAGAAGCGGCCGGGACGCGGGGAGGAGGACTCTCGCGGAGATAGTCCTTCTGCGCATGTGCGTTCCGTTTAAAAAAAACCTACCAGCAGTTTTGTGTTTTCACGCCCCAACGCCACGCTGCGGATTACGCACGCGCGGCCATGGCCTCCCTGGGGCGCGCATGCGCCCCAAACGCTCCCTTTGAAGAACTTCGGGAACGAACGGGCGGAAGTGCGCCTGCGTAGCAGTTGGACGATGTCAGTCTAGGAATTTTTCTTTTTTTTAAAAAAAAGAGGTGAAGTTTTAAAATAAAATAAGGATTTTTTTTTTAAAAAAAAGAAATTCTTCCCCTAGGAGAGGGAATCTGTTGACGGGGAATGGTGGGATGCGAAGTGGAGGAGTTTTGAAAGTTGGGCAGGTTAGAAAAACTCGGTTAACGGGTCGTGGGTTAAGGTGATGTCGAAAAGGGTGGCCCCTATTTGTAGGATGGGCTGTTTCGTTTTTTTTTTTTAAACTTTAAATATCCTTTACGAGATACTCTCTGCTCATCAACAGGCTGCTGAGATCTGACCAGATGCCGTGAGATCCCAAAGCATTAGAGCTTGACAACTTTAAGATTTGTGGACTTCAACTCCCAGAATTCCCCAGCCAGGCTGGCTGGGGAATTCTGGCTGGCTGGCTGGGGAATTCTGGGAGTTGAAGTCCACAAGTCTTAAAGTTGCTAAAGTTGGATACCCTTGGATTAAGTATATAGCATTTGTGTGGGATGCCTGAAGCTATTTGATGCATTACCTTGTCATCCTTTCTAAAACAGAGTTCCCCTATAATCTACAATTAGAATATGCTTAAATTTCCCCCCTTATCGGTATGCCAGAAGGTAGAATCTAAAAAGACCAAAATCATCTCTTGGGTCAAACAATGTTAATTATTATACTGCAAGGACTTCTTTATGTGCTGCTTGTGTCTGAAATTAGGAAGTGGATGTCATGCTGATCTCCTGCATCGATGTGGGCAGCCACCTTCTTAATAATAACGATATGATCATTCTTAATTATAATAATGTTGATATTTGCTGAAATACCTCTTGCATCTGTTTTATCTTTTCCATATTGGTCTGTGCATACATGCGTCTTTTTCTTTCCATATTCTGCTCTTTGCAATGATATTTCTAAATTTGCTGTGCCTGTGTCAATTTTTTCCCCAAGTCTGTCAGAATTCTCAGTCATCCAGGTCATGGTCGTTCCAAAGATGCTTTTTTCAAGCGGCAATTGTACTTTTTTGTTTTTGTTTTTCCTCGAAGACGTTTCGCTTCTCTTCCAAGAAGATTCTTCAGTTCTGCCTTGAATGGTGGAGAAAGGAAGGATTTATATTCCTTGCAGTCATCCAATAGTAAGCACTCTCTCTGTAGAGTGCTTTTTATTGTAAAATATAGCTTTTTCATGGCTTGTATAGTATGGTACAATTTGGGTTAGCTGCCTTGAGATCCTTCAGTTGAAAGCAATCAGTAAAAGTCAGTTTCTTTGAAATAAGCTGAGCTTCTGGTCACTTCCTGGACAACTTCATGTTGTGATTTCTTGGGCAACAAGATAAATTGATCTGCCTTCTGATTTTTATTTAAACTTCCCAATATAGTTTATAGACTTGATATTTCCTGTTAGTATCTCATCATATTAAACCAGGTGTCAACCTGCTCTTTTTTTTTGAGAGAGAGATAGAGAGATCAGAGAGGGTAGGTTTGGTGCTGCCAATCCATAAAACAGTGGTTAAAAAATAGTCCACTACCGCAAAGTTAGCATCTTAGATTGAAAATACATTATAAAAATAAAAACTGACTGATTATTTCTTGCAGAAATTGTGGAATTCTTCTCCATAATAGGTAGAACTTGGACCTACCTACAGCATTTGCAACCAGGCTCGGAAGAGTAATCAATGCATTCCTTCTAACAGGTGGGTACTTAAACAAAAAAACTTATTCTGCAGTAAATCATTTATCTATGAGTAAATCATCGTACTTTATGAATGCTCTTTTTAATTAGACGCGCATAGCATTTTACAGTCATAGTACATTCTACTCAAGGTCTGCATATAAAGTTCATTGAGTTCAGAGGGATCTGTGAGCTGGTAAGGTTTTGTTTTGTGCCTTTCTTATTTTTATTAATAATCTAAGACAGGGGTGTCAAACTCAAGGCCTGCGGGGTGATTAGATCTGGCCTACAGGGTCGCCCTGGAAACAGTGAAGGATCAGCCCGTGGTCCCTTTGCCAGGGAAAACGGAGCTCGTGCAGCCCTCACAAGCTCCATTTTTGCTGATGGAGGGTTGAAGGAGACAATTGCAGCCTAATAAGAAAATATTTCATTTCATTCATTTCATTTCATTTTATTACTCTCGGAAGACTCAGGGCGGCTTACAAATAAAAAGGGAAAGGGGAATATAAAAAATAAAAAACAACAGTTAAAAATACAACAACATTCATAAC